GGACTCCCCCTTGCCTCCTCCATTTCACCCTTGGGAACCATGAATACATGTTGGTCTCTATAACCCAACCAAACTCACTGCCATCAAGTCAAGGCTGGCTCACAATGACTCTCTAGGTCAGGACAGAACTGCCCCAGTGAGTTTCCTAGACTAACTATTTACAGGTGTAGAAAGCCCTATCTGTCTCCCTCAGAGAAGATGGTGGTTTGGAACTGCTGACCTTGCTGTTAGAAGCCTAACACATAACCACTACGCTACCAAGGCTCTGGTGCTGGTTTCTATATATTTGTCAAATTCTAGATATTTCATCTAAGTGGAATTATGTAATACAGTATTTGTCCTTTTATGACTGATTTTTTTTCGCACAGGATAATATCTTCACGCTCCATCCATATTGCAGTGTATATCAGGATTTCATTTCTCTGACGGGCTGAGTAGTATTTCATTGTATGTTCGTACCACATTCACCTATCTGTTCATCTGTTGATGGACACAGGCTGTTTCAATATTTGGCTAGTGTGAAGAGTGTTGCGACAAACACGGATAGACAAATCCATTTATGTTCCTGCTTTCTATTCTTTTGGTTATATGTTTAGGAGTGGAATTGCTGGGTCATATGTCTAACTTTTTGAGGAACCGCTGAACTGTTGACCCCACAATGGCTAAAAGCATAGCTTTTAGGGAACAAAACTTTTGTGAATACATCTTGGACTCATCTTTAATGGAAATGAGGCGATCTCTGAAAAACAATTAATAGCTTATTGTTCCTTATATTTTTAACATGCTTTTGTACCCACTTCTATGTAGCTATTCCCAAGTGCCCCAGGCAGTAGGAAGGGAAGGATGATGACTTCCAAAGATGAGGGCAGTGGGGCAAGAAACGGGAAGTGAGAGCGACCCAGTCCTTTGTCCCTGAGGCTCGAGCACCCTGTCTGGGAAGCCCAGGCCGTGAGCAGCGTTGCTTTCCAGGAGCCCCTGAGTGCCATCGGGGAAAAGCTGACTTTCAGGTATGCAGAGAAAAGCCACCAGAAGTCTCCCTGTTTTCACTCTTCAATTCATTTAAAAAAAACCCAAAACACAGATTCTGTGACAGCAGTGTGTGAGGAATGATGTAGTGAACGAGGAGGTCTCTAAAAACCCAAAGCCAAAAATCATCACCTATGTTCCCGTTCATTGTGGGGCCAGCATTCATTCCAGTCTCTGCAAATGGTTCTTCAAGATGGGTTATCCAGGCTGGCAGAGCGGAGAGCCTTGGGCAGGTTGATGAAGCAGTAGGCAGTGATAGATTTTTCAGTAGGCACAATGGCGGCATTAGGAATGAAGTAGTTTGGACTTTTGCCCAGGCTTTGGGCAAAAGCTTGAGGTTATCTCTAGGCAGTAGCAGCTGTTATGGTAATTAGGGAATGAAGGTTTTGGGTGGGGGGCAAGGGGTTAGAGAAAGTAATTATAGTGCTG